TAACCCAGTTTTTGCACTTTTTCGGCGAGGTTTTCTGTTTATATTGCTTGACCTTCAGTTTTGAGCTTGAGTAATCTCAAACTACACAAAACATAAGAAGTGAAAAACATTTTTACTCAATAGAAGTTGATAATTCTGTTAACTTTTAATCCTGGGTTAGCGTTAACCAGCTTTCGAACAACTTGGTCCTGGCTATCACCAATATTGTGTAACATATATTTATTATTGCTAAGTTTTCTATGTATTTTTATGTATTAATTGTGTATTTTAAAAAGTTCCCATGAACTGCTATGACAAATTTACCTTTATGTATCTCTGTCTATAAAACATTTAAGTTTAAATGTACATGATAAATCAGGTTATTGACCTCAAAGATATATACTGGGAGTAAATCTGATAACCAAAAACAAGCTCAAATATTCCGTCAGAATGTGGAACAGTGAATATTTTCAACAAAGAAAAAAAAATCTCTTTTTATGTATCGATGTTTCATCAGTTTAAATGTCGTTATTTTGAAGTAAAATAAAAAACAAACAAACTAATACTGTACAAACAGTTCTATAAATCTACCGTTATCTCACCAGTTTGCCTATATCCTTTTATTATTAAAATTTACAAAAAATGTTTTTCATTGTTTCTTATACTAAAATTTATTCACTTTAATTCAGCCAAAATATGGCCTTGTGAAGGAGCTTTATTTATTACACAATGTCCTAACTATATTACAATATTATTTTAAAAAATGCACAGTTAAATTTAAATGAAAAGTAACTTCTTTATTGTAATTTAGCAGACTTGAAGTAGTTGCTCTCTTTTTTGAGTTCCTATGCGCGAGCAGAATTTTAACTCTTTTGTCGTAATATTTTCTCTTTTTTTTTTCTTGTGCCATAGAAATTCACGAAAACAAATACTACTCTAGTCTACTTGGCTTTTAAAGCCCACTCCAATATTTATAGAACACGGGAAATAAATAAAAATATTTGTTCTATTAACTTGTTCTTATTGCATATTATCAATATATCAATATTGTTTGAGGAACAAACGGGTAAAAGCGAAAATAAAACCTAATGGCTTGCGCGTATTTATGGCATGTTTGTAAGGCTTTTCCACGGTGGCCATATTGGAATTTCCAAAGTATGGGAAAACTTTGCACACGGAATGAACTCATTTCCGTCAGAAGAGAAATTTTATTTTTTAACATTTCCTAACACAGTAGGCTGCCACAGCAACAGTGTGACCTGTTAGAATCATCCTTAATTGTCGAAAATCAGGAATCTAATGTGGCTCTGAACCCCATGAACAGAACGTTTTAAATTTTGCTAAACGTTGCGTCATATCCTGATAATCAAAATTCGATCATAGTGAATGCAAGTCCTGACCGAGCTCAATTTTGAATTATTAACAGTTTAAGTTAAAATTAAGGTGTTTTTAGCGGGTCATATTATTGCTATGGTAACCTATCATGTAGAGAAAATGATAACGACGTGTTCACCAGTGATTGGGCAGTTTTTTGATACCATGATTGTAGCATCAAGTGATAAGGAGTGTTTACAATGGCTCATCAAAATCTAAGTCTTGGAAAGTGCTGGAAACTGTTTTAATATATTTTGCATGAATCATCTATATACTTACACAGATTGACCGGGCCGAAGTGAAATAAGGAAGCCTTGAAACCATGCAAGCGATTAACCACGCCAAAACCGAAACACCACTTCTCTTATCACCAAAACCCGAATTGCTAAAACAGGAAAAAGAAACCAAACACCGCAACAAACCGAAAAACAGGAAATTGTTACCCTAAAAGCCGAAACGCCCCCAACCCATGGCCACCCACAGTTAAACAACAGGAAAACAACCACTCGAAAGTTAAACACTTTGCGGTATGAGAAAAAAAAAATGCTTTGTCTTTTCTGTTACACTCAACCTTTCGTGATTGTCTTGATCTTCGTTTGGAAAATTTATTTTGAAAGTCAACTTAAGCTGGAATTATTTATGGCAAACCTTTTACCACATTGTTGCTTTGGGCAAAGGTAACAACAGACTTGTAAATGTTGTTCTTTCTGTTCGCCGTAGGCTATTTGTAAAACAGGAAGTCTTCATAATTCAAATTGGGGTTCTCTAATAGCGGGAATCTTTGAAATGGGAAATCTTTAGAAGCAACATTATTGAACAAAAACAGAATTTAAAAGCGAGAATCTTTACAATGGGGAATTTCCAAGATGGGGAGGTGGGAATATTTTGAAATTCTTTCGACGAAAGTGCAAACTGGAGCACGAATTTGGTAAGTGCGTGGCCTTTAAGACCTTTGAGAGGATAGCTGTTTTCACAAACCCATGTTTCTTGTTTACAAAATGGTTGGTTAACTGGTCGTGGTCACTCGGGTGTTCTAATAAAAGCGCGTTATGTGGTGAGAGTTGGTGGGTTCACTGCCCGGGGGGGTACTCTTTGAATCTTTGGGTAGGGGTGTGCTGCTGGAACACTGGAGCCCTATACTAGACAATGATCAGCTTGATTTTGCAACGATCAGCTTGATTTTGCAACCAAAAACCCCTACCCTATTCCAGACTAGCTATTTGCAATGCAGAAACTTAACCACCATCGTAGTCCAACATACGCTAACTAAACCAATATTTCACAAAGTCACTTCCAAGTTTCAATTTCTATTACAGAACCCCGGATGAAGAACCCTGTTCTAGACTAAATTATTTATACATCGGCCGCTTTTCCGGTAAATTACACCTTTTTCTAAACCAAAACTGTCTGATTTCTGTGCCCTATCCCAGACTAAACTACCATACCCTTCACGGCGGCACGTACCCATATGGCTTATGTATGGGAGTACCTCCTCCCCCCCGGTTCATTGCAACTTGTTTTCAAGGACCAGTACATTTCCCGGGTGGATGTCATCACGGCGCTTCTAACGGTAACAAGAGACAAGTCAGTTTTTAAACCCATAAGTCAAATAACTCGTAAAAGGTCACATTCCACATAGCGAGGACGCAAAATTCAGCCACGCACAAAGCCGAGTTGAAAATAGCTTCAAGAAGTTTTAAATTTTAAGGTTAAGAGACCACTTCTAGACATTTTTGGATCCAAAGTGAGATCTTAGACCCTCTCTCAGCGTGATGAAGAAATGCCATTAAGCATGTTAACTGTTCGCCTGTAAGCCAAGGAAACACCGTGATATGATCATGTTGATAAAGATTAGACTTCCGTTGCTTGTGTGCGGTACTGGTGTGGTGCCCTCACAGGTCGTCATCACCTTTTGTGTCGTCGAGTTTCTTGTCCAATCACGGATGAATCGGAACAATGACAAGGGTGAAATGGAACAAGAGAACAGAATTAGAAACCGATCGCGTTTCACTGATCCAATGTGACTAAAGCGAAATTATGCTTGTGAACGCGTGAATGGCTCTAAGCCCGGATTATGGCTTTACAAATGTTCCCTTCCCTTTCCCTCAACCTGGAAACGCTGTTCTACGTTCAAGAACTGCAAGATAACCGATGCTTTTCGGGTCCTGTACGTTCAAATGTCCGCGAGTTGAAAACCTTTGACGTCGTTTCATGTTGAACTTCGCGTGGTCGAAGTTTCAACATTTGAGCCCGAAAATGACTGCTGTTTCGTCGAAGGACTTCGTTTGGGCAAAGGACGGTCTTCGAAAGATTGACCAGGTAATAAATGTTGATATTGCCCAGCTATCCAGTGGGCCAGTTTCATGCATATTGTACATTGTGTTCGAGCCACTCGCGGCCTGTGGTCTTTAGGGAGTGTTTACACAGACGGCAATGACACAGTTTCGATTTCGCGTAGATTTGTTTTGCTGATATGCTGTGCTTTTAAAGCCTTCCTGTTATTTTTCTGGTTTCACTTTTTGCATTTCGACTCGAAAAAACAGTTTCCTCCAAACTTTGCCCACGAGTCTACCTTACCTTATTGCAAAAGTAAACGGAGCCATCTAAGTTTTGCAAATATTTTTTTATCTCAAATTAAATTCTTGCGGGTCAAAGAAGAGCTTCCTATTTTTAGCAATGGCGAGGAGATAGAAAAGAAAATATTCCAAGCTCACCGCTTCAAAACGCTGTATCGTACTTATTGAATGTGCCAAGTTACTTTAACATGTGGTCATTCGGTCTGTCACAGATCTTGACATACGTGTGGTTTGCCTAGCCGTCAAAGATTTAGATGCCCTTTGCCTTCACGGGATTTAGCACTTACTAAAGCCGGATTTTTTCACTTAGTTTACGGATATTGGTGGTCAGATCAGCCGTGACGGCAAGTTTATACGGGATTTAGCACATTACAAGAATATCCTCACAGTAACGTTAGACCCTCAAAAGCGAATTTTCGCGCATGCGCCATGCAAAATAATGTTACTCGCACCTCGGTTATCACGAATTCCCCGTTATCACGAATTCAAGTCCGCTTCCCTTAGATTTGTCTTTGTTTTTTGAGTGATTTACTATCGATTATCTCAAACTGGGTTATTTCGAACTCCCGCTATTTTGGGCTATCTGTTTCCTAGCTTGTCTTGAAATCAACTCTGTACGTTTCTTCCGACCTCCACTGGTAAAGTTGAAAAACAAACATCATGAGGTCAGACCACGTTAGAACAAGGCTGGAAAACTACAACTGGGGCATTTCATTGCACTTTAATAATCTTGTACTGTAATGAACCTCGTCTTCAGGCGATTACATATTAGCATAGTATGAATTGTTATATTTTTGATATTTAATGCTGACCAGGTTATTTCAAACCCTCGATATTTCGAACTTATCCTTTTTTTCTTTTCCCCTCAGAGTTTGAAATTGCGAGGTTCAGCAGTTAGTAAATAGAGTGGTTTTCAATGAGTTTCGTGAAACCAAAACCAAACTATTTACTTCCTAATAAGACTACTCAACCAAACTCAAACCGTAGTAAAGCCAAAACCAAAGTAATTGCCTGATTACTTTCGACACTCAATAAAAAAACGCTCTAAAAAGATGAATAAGTAAGTTAATAATTACGAAATAGAGCACATTTTCCGTGTTTACATAGCCTCCTCCAAGCACGAGGAGGGTTGGGAGAATTCGAGACAGTTATGCAAACCCGAGATGTATGCGAGGGTTTGCATTACTTTCGAGAATTCTCCCAGCCCCCCGAGTGTTTAGGTGAGGCTATGTAAACACGGAAAAGTTCTCTATTTCTTTTTGCTGGCGAGCCCTAGCGAGGCAGCAGCCTATTCTTTACAATAGCAATCCGGGCATACCGGGGTGCGTGTGAATGCACGTTGAAATATCGATCTATTTCGAGCAATAGCTGTGTACAGCCGTCCCGCTCTGCTAGAAATCAAGGACACGATAAACGAGGTGAAATGTAGATGTCTTTAATTGCTTGTGGAAGTATTCATCAAGGTCATGAAGGGTTTAGTGATGACTCGAGAGGAAGACAAGAGATTTTTATGTGTTTGGCTGCTCTATTACGTGAGCAATTTTTGCCGATTCGCGAATGGAGGTGCCAAGATATCGATCAAGTCCTTCTCCATGAAGATCATTTTTTTTCTCAGTGCATTCAGCAGCAGTGAAGTGTTAGGCAAAAATGCTTCCATTCGGAGTAAACTGCCGACT